CTCTCTCTCTCTCTCTCTCTCTCTCTCTCTCTCTCTCTCTCTCTCTCTCCTCTCTCTCACTCTCTCTTAAAAAAAAAAAAAAGAGTGGGTAGAGTCTCTCCTTAGGAACTAGCTCTTCTAACCTGCCTTATCTCTTATCTGCCATTTTCTTCAAGACAAACATTTTCTGGTGTTTATTTTACAGCTTAAAAAGCTTTGATATCCTGCAGGGTGCAGTGGTGCATGCCTATAATCCCAGTGGCTTGGGAGGCTGAGGCAGGATGATTGCAAGTTTAAAGCCAGCCTCAGCAACTTAGTGAGACCTGTCACAGTACCAAAATAATAATAATAATAATAAGGGCTGGGGATATGGCTCAGTGATTAAGCACTCCTGGGTTCAATCCCTGGTACAAAGAAAGAAAGAAAGAGCTTTGATATCCTAATAGCAGGTGATGGCTTGATATTTACTGCATTGTCTTTAAGAGACTGTTGCATGAATATACTGGAATAGCTTTTCCATTTTAGAAGACTAGATAATCAAAGACAGGAAAGGGCAACAGGCATCTGCTGCATGTTAGCCTGTTCAGTTTGGTACTCAGTCTTGTGCTTCACATAGTTGGAAAATTATCTGGATTTTTTTACAGATCTAGATACTTGTTGTTTCAGTTTGAGGCTGTAGGTAATTTATGGGGGTTGGTCAATATTTTCTGTAAAGAGCTAGAAAGTAAATACTTTAGGCTTTGTAGGCCATGTGATCTCTGTTCCTGTGTCAGATATGTTAGTCAGTTTTTTTGTCACTGTGACCAAAATATCTTACAACTTAAGAGGAGGAAAAGTTTATTTTGGCTAAGGGGTTCTAGAGGTTTAGTTTGTGGTTGGCTGAGTCCTTTGCTCTGGGACCAAGGTGAGGCAGAAGTACATCATGGCTGAAGGGCCTGTCAGAGAAACACTGCTCAGCTCAGGGCAGGTCAGGAAGGGAGTGCCGTCACTGCAAGGAAGATAGACCCTTCCAGGTGCTCCCCCAGTAACCCACCTCCTCCAGCCACACCCCACCTGGCTATGGTTAACACCCAGACAGACCATTCAAACTAGAATGGACTGATTCAGGTACAGTCCTCACAATCTTATCAGTCCACCTCTAAACATTCCTATATTAACATTAACACTGGAGCTTTTGCTGGGAATCTCATATCCAAACCATAACATCAGCTTTGCCCTTGAAGCTGGAAACTGTCATAGACAATACTTAAGTGAACAGACGTAGGTTTATTTTTTTTTAGTTTTTTTAAAAATATCTTTATTTATTTATTTTTATGTGGTGCTGAGGATCAAACCCAGGGCCTCGAACATGCTAGGCGAGTGCTTTGCCACTGAGCCACTACCTCAGCCCCAGACGTAGGTTTAAAGAAGTTTTTATGTTTATAATCTTCTAGTGGATTCACATAAGTCCTTAAGTACAAAAAACAGGTGGTGGCCTGGGAGTGGTCATTTGCTGAACCTGCTGAAACCATCAGTATTTGGACATAGGACTGATGAACCAACCTATAGTGCAGCTAAATGATTTTGAAAATGAAGTTAACTGGGAAGGTGAGTGATTTGCAGCTTGCCTTTCTCTTTTCTTGCAGAGATGTGGTATGGTGTGTTCCTGTGGGCACTGGTGTCCTCCCTCTTCTTTCATGTCCCTGCTGGATTACTGGCCCTCTTCACCCTCAGACATCACAAATATGGTAGGTTCATGTCTGTAAGCATCCTGTTGATGGGCATCGTGGGACCAATTACTGCTGGAATCTTGACAAGTATGTTAGACATTAAAATACCAGTCAAAAACGTTTAATGTGATAAGTCAGTTAATTTCAGGACTTGTTTTAGAAACATCTGAGTAGGATAAATAATAAAATGTGTTTTTTAATCTTAGGTCCTATTCCTTAATGTATTCTTTTTTCTTACTCCCAAACCCCCTTTGTTTGGCTAATCTTTGACTTCCTGAGAAGTACCTGATTTGTGTTCTGTTTATTTCCTTTCCCCCTGCCCCTTAGAACTTTCTCAAAAATAACTGGAGAAACATGGATATTATTTTTAAAATAATTGCATTTTTAAACCTGCTTTTTGTTTTTGTTTTGCTCTTTGGCTTTTGGCTCATGTCATAGGACACAATTACAATGGTTAGAATAATAAGTTTAAATTATTTTTAAGCTCACAATAGCATATAAACATGTTTTATATAAATTGCAAACTAAAAGGAAGCAAAATAAAAAATTATGATATATATTAATAATAACCACCACAGTTTGCATTTTTTTTAGGTATACATATAAACGTAAATACATTCATAGAACACAGACACTTAATAGTCCCACAAATTTGTCACTTTAGTTTTTTCACTGTGAATTTAAACCTTGAGCTTTAAGCAGAAATTTCCTTGGTCTCTTTGACTTAAGGGTTTTTGTTTTGTTTTTTGTTTTGAGACAGTGTGACCCAATTTCTGTTGATGGCATCACCTCCTGCAGTTGCAGAGACCTCTGCTCCAGTTTCTACACCTGATTACTGGCCCCAGGCACCAGCTTCAGTTTTCTCATCAGTAAAATAGGGATAATACTGCCAGGCATGGTGGTGCACACCTGTAATCCCAGCAACTGGTGAGGCTAAGGCAGGAGGATCACATGTTCAAAGCCAGCCTTAGCAACTTAGCGAGACCCTGGCATGGTACCAAAAACAATAATAAAAATGGCTGGGATGTGGCTTAATTGTTAAGCACCTCTGGGTTTATTCCCTGGTACCAAATATATATATATATATCCGTTTTACAGCCTGGGTGATGACTGAACGAGATAGTGCACACAATGAAGCACCTAAACTGATGCCTACTCTTCAGTGATTATGTATAAATGCTGTGTTTATTTCTATCTTTAGGCATTAGGGTGGAGTTTATTCCCTTCCCATTTGCTGTTTTCTCTGGTGGGCTTTTTCCTTTCTGCCCTCCATCATGTAAATCCCACTTTAGGGCTGGGCATGGTGGTGCATGCCTGTAATCCCAGCAACTCAGGAGGCTGAGGTAGGGGAATCACGGGTTCAAAGCCAGCCTCAGAATTTAGCAAGACCCTATCTCTAAATAAAAAATAAAAAAGAGTGGGGATGTGGTTCAGTGGTTAAGCATCTCTTGGTTCAATCCCTGGTTTAAAAAAATAAAAATAAATACATACCACTTTAGGACCCATTTCAAGTAGTTTAAGCTTACGTCACAAAGAGTCCCAGTGAGATGTGCTTTCAGACAATGCCAGTGTAGGTAGGCATTTTAGAGTGTCGAATGTTCAAGAAAACCAACTTTGGCTAATTACTCTTCTTTCTTCTTGTTCATATATATATGTGTGTGTGTGTATCTGGGTAGATACAGGTGTTTTTTGTTTTGTGTTCTCAATTTCTAGGCAGTTACAGTTACTAGCATAAGAAAGTTAATAGCATGAGGCTAAAACAGAACCCTTAAGTATCTCTATTTTTATGTACCCTTTGAATTAAGAACTTGTGGCTTAGACTAAGTCCTCCTTTCTTCCTTTACCATCCCATTACTCTCTCCTCTTCCCCTTCTTGAAGGGAACCCTGAATATAACAAGGTAGAGCAGAGATGTACTGTGGCCTGAACATTTCTTACTTAGTCTCACTTAGAAGATTGTCATTTATTTCGTACCTCTTCAATGCTGGGCATGGGGCTAATTGGCACAGGAATAAAGAGATGTTTTTGAGTTCACAGTCAAGGTCATGAAGGAATTGCTCTTTGTGATCTTATTACTTCCAGATTATTCTACTCAGTAAATCTAGGAGACTTTGAGTTTTATGGAGTCTACATCTAAAATCACAGGTCAGTGATTTGCAAACCATATAAAGAATACTTAACTAGAATAATCTTGGGGGACTGAGGCAGAAGAATTGCAAGTTTGAGGCCAGCCTAGGCAACATAATGAGACCTTACCTTGAAATAAACAAACCACAACAAAACCTCAGGTGATCAGCAGAAAGAATAGGGGAAATAAGACATTTCTATAGTATTTAAATTTTAAAGTAAAAAAATCTGGAACATTCTACTTAGAGTAGAATTTTAAGTGCTAAGTTTCATGATTTTGTTGACCTCATTTTTTTTCTTCAATGTACTTGAATTTTTGAACCAGGTGCAGCAATTGCTGGAGTTTACCGAGCAGCAGGGAAGGAGATGATACCGTTTGAAGCCTTGACCTTGGGCACTGGACAGACATTCTGTGTGGTGGTGGTCTCCTTTTTACGGATTTTAGCTACTCTATAGCATACACCCTTATGCTGTGRTGTCCAACCTAAGTTTTCTAGAATCCTCAGAGAATACATGATGGAGTGTAGTGTGTTTTATTTCTTCAAGTGGAAGCAACTTGGTTCAACAGGAATGTGAAGAACATATCAGATATTTCTTCAGTTTGAAGCTGTAGCCATTGAAGATCTTTTTGGATTCCTATCATTCTCAACCAAGACAAAACCAGTTTCTTGGCCTCTTTTTTGTAGATTAAGTTTTACACACATACCTTTACCTAAACCAGGCCAACTGTGCCTTTGGGTTGGCCTCCCTTACACTGGAATATCCCTTACTATATTTGGTGAGAAAATCCATATTTCATGAATGTTGCATATTTCAGAGAAACTGGGCAATATTGGTGTATTTAACATGAGCAGAATAAGCTGCATTAAAATCTTAGTTGATCTAATCTTGATTAATATTTGGGAAACTCTTCTTTCACTGTATCTTCATGACAGTAAAGCCAACTAGGTTTTGGTTGAGTATAGCTTTGAGAGCAAATTTGGTGAAATGTAACAGGAAATAAGTTGAAGTATAACTCAAGTAGTGACTTTGGTTCCACTGTTAAAAGTAGATAACTGATGAGAATGTGATGTTTTATGTGTAACTATCTTGACCTCTGATTTTTTAATATTTTAAGAGATATGAGTTTGTTTTTTTTACAATTGATTAAAAGAAGCTAGCTAATTGACTTTTTCTTTTTCTTTTTTTTTTAAAGAGGGTTTTGTTATGTTCTGGCCCCAAACTCCTGTGCTCAAGCAATCCTCCTTCCTGGGCCTCCTGAGAAACTGGGACTACAGTAATGCACCATTACACCTGGCTGGCACTTTAAAAAAAAAAAAAAAGAAAGAAAGRAAGGAAGGATTTCTATACTTTTTCCTATTGCTTTTTGTTTTAAATTGTGGGTGGGCATAATACTTTTTATGCGGTGCTGAGGATGGAACACAGTGCCTCACGCATGCTAGGCAAGTGCTCTACCACTGAGCTACAACCCCAGCCCTCTTATTGCTTTTAATTTGGCTTATTTTATTTAGTTTAATTAGAAATCTACATACCCTCTGAAGCAGCTAAGTTGAAAATTTTAAGCAAGATTGTTTAGAATATTCTTTGGACACTGAGGCACAAATAAGATACTTAAAACATTCTGCTATAGATTTTCTTAGTGACTGGGGTGGATTAATGACTTGAGACAATTTTAGAAGTACAGCTGAAAATAGCATTGGTGGTTATTAGTTCCTTAGTCTTGATGTGTTTACCTGGTGGTGGCTCTTTAGCCACTTGTGCAGTATTTTTGAGTGTCTACTCCCATTAAATGCCTGAAGTTTTATTTTCAGATCTGTCCCCATTCTGCCCTTTACACTTCTTTTCAAGAAAATTGATACCCCTAAAGAGAATTAAATATCAAGTTTTTTAAACTCAATTTTAGCTATTTTAATTTTTATCCTACTGCTTTTCTTTTTTATTAAAAGGCCTGAAAACTTTGACCTTCAAAAGGAAAAACATTGCAAAAATTAAGTAATTTGATCCTTACCACCTAAACTGTTTGTGTAGAATACAATCAATGTTGTTACCTGTTTTCAAAATAACTTCTGATAGTTAACCCTGACTTTCTTTATTTCCACATTTTTCTTGGTGCATTATAGTTGTATATAATATTGGGATTTGTTGTTACATATTCCTACGTGTGCACACAATATAACAATATAATTTGGCCAGTATCACTGCCCCCTCTACCTCTCCTTAATTCTGACATTTTTAAAGGAGAACTTTCATTATGAGATTAAGGCTGACAACCCACGAGGTCATATGCACATGAATCTATTCCATTTAAAACAAAATGCACTCTGGCTTCTGATTAGAAGAAGCTAGGAGGACATTTGCCAGTGGAATTCATAGAGAAAAATTATAAAGGAATTACAAAATTCATTGGACATTTTCTTTTAACAAATTAGACTGCTTGTTAAAACTAATTGAGTGCAGCTAAATTTCCTTTCAAAATCCCCAACAAGAAATTCAAATCTAAGCTGGGCATCGTGGTGTACTCCTGTAATCCCAGTGACTCAGGAGGCTAAGGCAAGAGGATCACAAGTCTGGGTCCTGTCCAGAGAACTTAGTGAGACCCCGTCTCAAATAAGTGAAAAGGCTGGGGTGGTAGCTCAGTGGTAGAGCACTCTTGGGTTCAGTCMTCAGTACTAAAAAAATAAGCTCAAATCTTTCTTCCAACAAATATTTAAAGATTACAGTTTTCAGCTGAAAAAGCTGTGATTTTAGAAAATATCCCTTCAGTTTAAAAAATATGGATATTATATCCCTTCTTTTGGGAAATGGTTTTAGAACATCTCTATTGAAAAAAATGCTTTTTTCTTGCCTAAAAACATTCTTTTGGATATGATACCAAAACATGTGGGCCAGTAGTTGGATCCTTCCCCCTGAAATTTAATTTTTCAACGTATTGATCCATGATTAAAATGTTATTTTCTTTTTTTTTTCCTTTTTTAGAGCCAAGACAAAAATTTAGACATTTTGAAATTTAGGTGTCTGTTTCTTATTTGATTATCTACTCTTTAAAAACTTCAAATATAAATTGTATCTTTAAATTGCTAAATGTTTCCTCCATCCCAGTATGTGAAGCATTTTCCTGTGAATAAATGTATAGATCGCGCTGTGTAGCTTGAAATGTTTTCAGGGAAAAACTATTTGAATGCTAAACAAAGAATGTATTCCACTTTGGTTTTCTCTTTTCCTTGTCTCAAATACAGATTTATTTGCAGGTGGTTGCTCAGATGGAAGAATATTGGCATTTATGTTGAACATTTTACCTTATATAGTTTTTTGAGAACTTTTGCCAACAACTGACTTTCTTAGAAATAGATGTAACCACCATTCCCCTAGCTGTGCTTCCACTGTCCCCCACCGATGGTTTTTTAATGTGGGGAGGCAGCCCCCAGCCATTAAAGCTGATTTCGTGATTCTTTAATAGGATTTTGGGGTAAAGGCATTTTGTGAACTTAAGTTCATAAACAAAAGCATAATGAATATTATGAGAAAGATTTTTCTCTGTGCTATTAGCTTTTTTTTTTTTTTTGCAGCAGGATACTAATTTTCATGAAACGTTTAAACTAGTGAGAAACAGTTCATGCAAATAATGAACTTTAAATCCTTCCTTATGTCTTTTTAAGTTTTTACATGGTATGTTGACTTTTGATTCCAATGTCCTTTCYGACTGCTCTGGTTTGTATAAAGTTCTTACTACACTGCAGCACACGCCTCCTGTCCCTGAGGAACCATTTCCTGGAATGTGAAGCCCTGGTGCCATCAGTGATCAACATGCAGAAAGTTTTTTGTGAACTTGCATTTCTTTTTGTGCATTCTATAAGGCTGGTTGTGACCAAATCAGCGTAACATTTTGTATTAGGTTATTTCACTAACTGCGACAGTCAAAAGGATCAAATCTTTGTACAATAGAAAATTATTTAAATTTTATTTTTCTACTGACATTTCTAATTCAAGTGTAAACGTTTATCAATAAAGAATTACTTTAAATCCTGTGAGTTGGAACTGCATTTCTTTTTTAGTGGCTAATGAGTTTAATCTTTTGTAATAAAATTGTGACTTTAGTTTTTGGTATTTTTAGTAACTATATTTAACATGTATGTTGAACTTTATTTTATGTTCAACTTTTTACTAATTTATAGGAAAATTCTTGTTCAAAGATGTGATTACATTGTATTTACACATGCCTTTGATACATTAATTCCATATTGTGAGCCATGTGTCACCACCAATATTTGTGTGATTCTGTGCTGAGATGGATGAATATTGATGTAATGTGTGAAAAGCTAATAATTTCAACACTAAATCTACCTGAAGAAAAACTCCAAATTAGGCTAATTTAATGACCTTGATGACATAATAAATCAGATTTCTGTTCTGCCATTTTCAGCAAGTTGGATTATTCCAATTTGGGTAGTTTACCTCATGGTCATAAAATGACTGCTACAGTTGCTGACATTGTAGGTGTACATTGTCTGGCAGGGGACTGCCTATTCATTCTAATTTTTTTTAAATTGAGGTTTAACAGGCAATAGAGTACAAAAACCTTAAATGTGTAACCTGATAACTTTTTACATATATATATACTTACGTGACTGCCACTCAGTTCAAGAAACAGGATGATTCTAGTAGCCAGCTAGAGTGCAGAGCAAAGGATATGCACATAGTTCCACCAGGAGCCCCTGAGATTATGGGTATTCAGGACACAGCAGGGGAGAAATTTTCAGATTCCAAAAAGAACTACAATGAGAAACCAGGGCATTGGTAGGTGCCTGTAATCCCAGTGATCCGGGCAACTGGAAAAAGGGTTTTGAGTTACAGTTTAGTGAGATCCAAGCCAAAAACAAAACTCAGTTGCCATTGCATACCCTGCAGTCAAAAACACAAGGTGTTGGCAAGGGTGTGGGGAAACTGGGATCTCATGAATATCAAGTGGTGCAACCGTTTTGAAAAACAATTTGGCAATTCCTCAAAAGGTAAAGCTTCATGACTGAACACTTCTAGGTGAGCTTTGAAAATGTCAGGTTCTAAGAGCCAGGTGTAGTGGCGCCTGCCTATAATCCCAGTAGCTTGGGAGGCTGAGGCAGGAGGATTGCAGGTTCAATGCCAGCCTCAGCAATTTAGCGAGGCTGTAAGCAACCTGGTGAGACACCCTATCTCAAAATTTTAAAAAAATTTAAAAATAAAAAAGGGCTAGGGATGTGGCTCAAAATGAAAGAAGCCAGTCACACATTATATGAGTCCGTTTACATGGAATGTTCAGATGTGGTGATCAGGTAAATGTAAAACAGGAATGATCAATGAGTACAGGGTTTCTTTTTGGGGTGATAAAAATATTCAAAAATTGATTTGATGGTGATTGCTCACGTGTTTAAATATATATGAAAATAGTTGTACACTTAAAGGAGATAGTTTTTTTGATACATGGATTGGGCTGTTTTTTTTTTTTTTTTTTTTTTTTAAGGTTTGCTAGTATAGAGCCTTCTGTAATGTCTCTACTCACATGTCTAATCTATTCCCTGATTTAGGTAACTCAAGAACTGGATGACATAGATCCAGTCCAGTCCAGAGTATCAGTGAGAAGCAACTTTCAGTTGAGAAAAACCTCTCAATTTTTAAAAAGTATGGAACAAATAGCATGGCAGTCATCAATGTCTCACCTGCATTTGCTTCTGATTACTGTATCCCAAAATTGGAGTATAATTAAAATGTTTCATCTGAAAAAAATAAAGATTATATGTTTGTATTATAATATGGGTCAACTTGAAAGAAAGATCCATGTGGATGTCTGCATCGTAGAATATAGTGGATTCTAGTTATTGACAGTAGTTACATTTATACTGTTGTCTCCAATAACCTCTCCTCCAGGGTTTTAGAGTGCTATAAGCTGGTGGTCACAACACCTTTGTCAAATGACCAGCATGTAACCTTGTTTTATGTGTGTTTCTATCCAAAGACACCTTATTTAATACATATACTTTTGCCTATAATTATACACAGTATTTCTTTACAACATAACAATATCTCAATTACAGCATTTTGGTACAATGTACTTTTCTGTACTGAAATTGTACTACTTTTTCATAGTCATACACATACAGTACATATAGTACAGAAAACAGTCTTGACACACTGTACAGTCCTCACAGTAAACCCAATACTGTGAACACATACTGCACAGTACAGTAATATAATAACGTCCTGAAAAAATTAAAAGATTAAGCATTTAAAGTTTTAAAAAACATTAAAAGCTTACTGTTAATGGAGCTGCGGGATGTGGAAGGGCAGTGGATGGTGTGTAAAGCTCAACCTTGGCTTGCTCCATGAAAACCAAGGGAGAGTTGGATGAGTTTATTCTGCAGAAGAGGAAGAGAGTGGCATTTTGACATCTGGCAGTTCTACCTTAGGAGTTGGGCTATCGCCACTTGTTGACGGGGTGGGCAGGTGTCCCTCCCCATTGGCTTTGTCTGATTGGCTCTCTGCCTTATTTCTTTAAGTATCTCAGTATATGGGGCAAATGCAGTGGAGGCAAGGCACTTGAATATGAGGCTGTGATCAAGCATAGGGTCACACTCCTTCATGTCATTAAAAATTTTTTCCAAGGCAGAATTCCATTCCGCTATTTTGGCTGCTGTGAGAGGGAGAATTCTTGGAGTCTTGGGCTGACTACTGTTGCCATCCTCATCCTTACTGACTCTGGTGCCTTGTTTCACCATCTCATCCAGGTCTTCATTGGTGGGTTCTACTGTCTTCTCTGCCAAAAGTTCCTCCACATCTTCTTCCTTCATGTCCTCAAAGCCTTCTCCGCTTATTTGCTGTGCAATGTGCATTATGTTTCTGACACTGTTCTTTATATTTTCTGTAATACCTTCAAAGCCTTCCAAATTTTCCACACAGTCCGGCCATTTTTCCAACAGTTATTGATAGAAGCTGGTTTGATGCTATCCCAGGCTGTGCCAACATAATCAATAACGATGCATATAGTGACTGACTTCCAATAGTCCATCATGGTGGTTTCCTTATTGGCCTTGAAAGTCTCCCAAGCCTTTGTGTAAAGCTCTTTAGTATAATGTGCTTTGAAAGCTTTTATTATACCCTGATTAAGGGGTTGGATGAAAGATGTAGTGTTTGTAGGCATAAAAAGAACTTTTACAATGGGGTGTGCGTTTTCAACTTCTTCATGGCAGTGGACTGGAGCATTATCCAAAATTAATAAAACCTTGAAAGCAAGGTTTCTGCCCTGGAGATAGTGTTCAACTTCTGGAAYGAAGCAATTGTGGAACCAATCAGACATCATCCACGCTTTTTTTTGTTCCACCTCCAATGGACTGGCATAGGGTTCACGTTTTCCCCTTTAAGTGCTCGTGGATTTTGGGCTCTGTACACCATTAAGGGTTTGCACTTAAAGTCACCCTTGGCATTGGTRCACAATAGCAAGGTTGCATGGTCTTGGAATGACTTAAAGCCAGGGGCTCTAGAGGCCATTTGCGTTACATAGGTTCGTTTGCCAACATCCTTGTAAAACAAGTCGGTCTCATGGGCATTGAAAACCTGCTCTTCCACATAACCCTTCTCCTGTATAACACTTAGCCAGTATTTCTTAAATTCTTCCGCAGCTTCCAGGGCTGCAGAACTCGCCTCTCCTGYGAGGGGTGCACCCCGTAGCGCCGTTTGAACCGGGCGAGCCAGCCGGCGCTGGCCSAGAAGGGCTTCACAGTTCTCTGACCCTGGGTAACGTGACAGTAGATTTCTTTGGCTTTCAGTCTCACAACAATGCTGTCCATTATGCTTTTTTTTTTGTCGGTCGTCATCTCATGAATCCACAAATTAAGCCGCTTTTTCATCTTTTCCATGGCTCCATCACGCACTAGAGAGGTCAATCTAGCGCTTTCTGGAGCGGCCTCACGTACAGTACAGACCGGCGAATTTCCTTCTCCTTTTTCTTGATACACCAGATGGTTGATTCATTAACCTTGAACTCACGGCCATCGGCACTGTAACTCACGCCTGAACCGAGCTGGTCTAACACCCGTATTTTCTCCGTAAGCACATCACAGCCTTCTTGCGCTTGGGAACACCCGACAGCACTTCGGCACTATGCTTTGGGGCTATTTTAAACCGCAAAGACCAATAAAAAGCACAAAAATGCAGTAAAAAGTGGCACTGGATAGATCTGAGAAAACGACTCTTGTTTACTGCAGGGAGAGTTGAACCAAGAAGTTGGAGCCTCTGCCAGGTTCAATYACAGCTGGAAACTTAAATCCCTGCAGACTCCAAATGTTCCCCCTGCGCATGCCCGGGAGTAACCCCAGAAAGCGCGCATTATTGATTTGGGGCTTACRAGAAAAAAACCTTAACGAGTAAATGAATTTGAAAATACAAATCCCAGATAATGAGCGTCAACCGTACTTTCTGTAGATACGTAATTTTCTTTAAGCACATTTATTCCATCTAGGAGGTGAGGCAGTACCAAAGACTACAAGTTCCAGCATACACCACGTCCGGGCGGGCCCATAGCTCCGCAAAGTCCGGCGTGCCCGCCCAGAGGCATCCACCGGAAGTGTCGTTTTCGACCACGTGGCACTGCCTGCGCATGTGCAGACGCTGCTGGGGCCGCCCAAGGTGCTGCTGCCGCCGTCRCCTCCGTAGCAGCAGTAGCAGCAGCTCTATGATCACTCCCTAGAGCTTTTCCGGTGGAGGCTGCTGCTGCAGTCCTGTGGGTTGCCTGGCCCCAAGCGGCAGCGACATGGAGGAATTTGACTCCGAAGACTTCTCCACTTCGGAGGAGGACGAGGACTACGTGCCGTCGGGTGAGCGTTGCGACCTGAGACGAGAGAAGGATTGCCCCGCCCCGCGCCTCACGTGAGGCACGCCTGGCCCCGCGGGCGTCGTCCGGTGCCCGCGGTGGCCCGGTGGCACGCGGTCTCTGGCATCCCGGGCCTCTTGACCCTTGTCCGCGGGCCAGGCTGGACCAAAGCGTGCGCGTGGGTGAGTTCGGTGCTGCCGCTCCGCCTGGGCCGACTTCGGCCGCCGCCCCCTCTCGTAGCCAGCGCGGGAAACGGCACGTGAACACGGCCCCGGCGCTGGGGACTCGGTCGGTGGCCCCCCGAACGACGCGCGGCTTCYGAAGGCCTCTGGACCGAGCTTGTTTTCATCTTGAGGGATTTGCTAGCTCCCTCTTTGTCCATCTGTCCACCTTCTACCTTCACAAGAGATGTAGTTAGAAAGTTAACTCGAGGATGCGTTTTGCTACTTTGCAGGGCCTACTCGTTGCTGTCGTCGAAGAACTTTTTTTTTTTTTTTTGGATGAGCGTCTCATACCAAGTGGGGTCAAGATAAAGCTAACCGTCCAAACTTACCCGCGCCCCATCCTGCACCTTCCCCAAGCTTATCCTTCTGGTTTCCTTTTTAATTAAAAGTTATGCATGCACATACTTAAAACATAGACAAGCATTTTAAGAGGCTTTTTTTGAAAGCTAGCAGTTCCCTTCATTCTCATCCCTGTTCAGTCCTAGTTGGGGGAAACTGCTTTGCACTTTTTCAATTTGGAATTTTCCATCTTTTCCATGGCTTCATCAAGCACTATAGAGGTCAGTCTAGCGCCTTGGTTGTCTTTTGACATAACTCACCCATGGTGGGTCTTTTTTTTTTTTTTAACACCCCCCCCCCTCGCCAATCTTGTTCCACTGACCTTCAACCCCCAACACACACACACCCTCGTCCACCTTTAGACCCTCYGCACCTCAGCTTGCCGGTGTTTCTATGTCAGGTTTTGATTAGACAAGTAATACTCATTGTTTACGTTTTTCCTATGACCAAGTGACACCTTATTCACAGCTACACCATTTGGTGTGCTGTGATTGTTTTCCATGCACAACTCTTTTCTAGAGTTGGTGATTACTTTTTTTTTTTAGTTTTTTTTTTTTTTTTTTTGCTTAGGTGTCTTTGTGTTTTTTACCACTAATTTCACTCTGAACTTTCAGGATTGTCTCAATCATTTCCCAAAATATTAAAGATTCTTTAGGTTTTCACTTTTCCTTTTTAAGTCCATATTTGTGGGGACAAGTGCATGAAGTGCTGCATATACATGGCATAAGTTAAGGGCGTCTGAGTGGCAGGCCACTTACCCTATAGACACAGCCCTGGGCATGAGGCTGGGTTTTGCTGTCCCAGTGCTTGCTCCATAGCCCACTCCTCGATTGGTCGCTGCAAGGACAGTTAGTAGACATTGTATTGGTGGCTGCCTGTACTCTGCTTAGCTACTGCGTGAGTGTGTGTGTGTGTGTGTGTGTGTGTGTGTGTGTGTGTATATATATATATATATTAGCTGCCCAATAAAATCAGACCAGCTTTCTGCTTGGTCTCCAGAAGTCTTGATTAGCGACTACACAGCCACACTCTCATCTACCCTGTTCCATGGACCTCCTCGCTGGTGGAGAGGGAACCCACGCACATATTTGCCCCTGACTCTGGTTTGATTGCTCYCTTTGACTATGAAACCTAGAATGTCCATCATCACCACTCTGGATATTCTCTTTTATCTCTTTTCTGTATTCTCTAGTCTGTATAGTGTTGCCTGTTTTTTTGTTTTTTGTTTGTTTGTTTGTTTTTTATCTTATGTTATCTTTCTTAATGTCCCACCAAAGTGAGACTAAATTCTCTAATAACTTCATGAGGAAGGATGCATGGCAGAAACATTTTTTTAAGATCTCAAATGTCTAAAAGTAACTRTACTACTTGCTACTGTCAGGCTTGATTGATTCAAGGTTGGAAATAATTTTCCATCAGAATTTTAAAGGTGTTCCTTCATCTTCTAGATTCCAGTGTTGCTTTTAAGAAGTTTTTTTCTCTTTTCCCTTTTTAATTGGGGATCAAACCCATGGCCTTCGTCTATTATGCAAGCACTCTACCACTGAGTTACATCCAAAGTAGCTCCTTTTATTTCCTCTTTTGTGATGCTGGAGGGCAAGCCTTCCTCTTTTGTGATGCTGGAGGGCAAGCCTGCTAGGCAGATATTCTACTGTTCAGCCACACTCAACAGTCTCCTAGCACCTTTTATTTTGAAACAGGGTCTTACTTTGTTGCCCAGGCCTGCCCCAAGCTTGTGATCATCCTGCGACAGCCTTTTAAGTAGTTGGGTTTACCTCACATGCCATTGTGCTGGGCTTTTGTTCCCATTTTCTGATACATCATTATGATATAACCTTGGTATGAGTGTGTTTTCAGTCACTGTACTGATCCTTTTAGGATCCCCTGGTGCYCCAGAAGATTTTTTGATGATTTCTGCTCTCCATTTTCTCTGTTTTATTTTTGTGGAATCCTCATTTTTTTATATTAAGCCATAGACMTGAACTTCTCTAATTTTTATCCTCTTCTTTTTTCCTATCCCATTGACCTTTTTTCTCACCTTCTCAGTGACCGGCTGCTTTGGGAGTTTTCCCTTCCYCTAAATTTTGTAGTAACCAGATTGCAATACATCAGTTATGGGAGCAGCTCTAGACTTGTTTTTGGTAGAATTTACTTGTATCTGCTCACTGACCAGTATATACAGTTTTAGTCGGGCAGAAGCTCTGGTTCTTCTTTAAGTGGTAWTGTCTCATACCAACTTTGCAAAGTAACCCGTGTAATATTTGTTGAGGTTGATCCTGTGATTATGCATACCACTAGCATTACCCCGGCCTCCTGGGTGCTTCTGGTGCTTGCTTATCTGGCCATGGTCCTGGCTCACTTTGCCCTATAGGTTACAGGTTCCTCAATCTGGATGGCATGTCAGCTGCCAAGACAGACAAAAAAGGTTCAATAACTTTTTCTTTGATTATTCTTTTTTAATAGCTTTATGTTCTTGTTTCATGAGTGTAGTATTTATCTCTTAAAGGATATTAATAATACTGAAGTTATTTGTTTTAACTTATATACAGTAAAATTTACTCTTCAGTTCACTGTTCTGTGATTTTTGGCAAATGTGTAGAATTGTGTAATCGCTACCAAAATTCACAAATTCAGGTCCCTCAACCCCCCCTGAAAACTAAAAATCCCTGTGTTACTCTTAGGACAGTACTCCCTTACCCTCAACCCTAGCCTCTGGCAACTAACTCCTGTCCTATTTTTAGTCTGTATAAGTGTTGCCTTTTTCAGAAAGTAATATAAATGGAAGCATAACTGTTAATGGATGTGAGGTAAGCGCAAAGGCTCMTGTGTGAGAGGATGTAACAAGGTTCAGAGAAGAAATGATTGGGTTATAGCTTTAACACAATCAGTAAATTAATCCCTGATGGGATTAACTGAATGGTGACTGGAAGCAGGTGGGGTGTGGTTGGAGGARGTGGTTCACTGGGGGCRTGAATTGGCATATATGTTTGTATCTGGCAAGTGGACTTTTCCTTTGCTTTCTGATCACTATGTGAGCTGCTTCCCTCTGCCACACTCTTCCACAATGATGTTTGCCTCACCTTGAGCCCCGAGTAATGGAGCTGGACTTCTGTGGACTAAGA